CGTGCCGTATGTTTTGATGCTTCTGTGCTCTGTGATTACCAGTCAAAATCATATATTCCTGTTCTTCCAGCGTCTGAAATCCAGATGATGACACTACCTCATGCACAGTATGTGATAGCTGAGGCTAGCACTCCTGTATCTGGAGTCAGCAGCAACCAGGTGAAAACGGTGAGTGAATTTGATATTTGTTAGATGAAAATGACAGTTGAATTTGGCTTTGTACTACACAATGAGCATATGTTTTTATATTCAGTGCTCCATACTTGAAAGTGTTGCTTAACAGTAGATGATGCTTCATAATTTACAGTTAAAAGCTGGATTACGTAAATATGCGGTAAAAATAGGAGGCGGAAACTTGAAACCTGCTTTTTCCTAGTCAAAGGAAAAAGAAAAAAGATTTATTGTATAACTTGAAATGTTATCATCCCAACAGACACACTACGTGATCTCTGAGGGTCAGACTGAGCTTGAGACGAAACAGACTCTTCCTCAGAGCACAACCCAGACACACACCGAACCACTGGAGCAGCAGCCGACGAATCAGCAAGCTACCACACAGTACATCATCACCACAACCACAAATGGTAGTGGCACCAGTGAAGTTCACATCACTAAGCCCTGAACTGTGCAGTGATGTTACTTTGCAAAGCCAGTGCAGACTCACGGACTAATCCTGCATGTTGTCCACAGCAGCTTGTACGCACATGAATAAACAAATACCTTGTCATGTGATCCTGCCACTGTCACGTGTGTATATACAGAGATGAAATGCATCAACACAGTTTTATGTGTCTGTAAAGTGTTAAATGTTGTGTTGCAAGCTGCCAGAACTTTATGAGAAAAATAAAGTCAGTCGACAGTAAAAAATGTGATGCTTTTATTTTGGACAGATTATAAAAAAACAACAAAACCCTAACCTAAATACATGTTTTAAAAAAAGATACTGGGATTGAAACTGCTAATACTTGAGTTATTGAAGTGATGGGAAGCTTCTACAGATTTGATATCCCATTTTGCATATCTGTAATTTTGCACACATTCCTTAAAGTATTTGTAAGAAAAAAAATAAAATAAATAAAAAAAGAGAATATGGAATAAATATTCCAAAATGTCAGAAATGGGTCATGGTCCTAACACATTTGTTACATGTTATCTGTTATCCTAGAATATTGTTGCTCATGTCTGGTATGATTTTACTCTGTTGAACTCTGTTACTTTTTGCTATGTGGTTGTTTTTATTTTTACAGTCTGGACTGACTTGATAATCAGAAATTTCCAGTGAGTCATTTCACATTATTTGTCTTTGTTACCATACCTCTGTTTAGTAAAGTAAATACAAACTGTTCCATTCTTTGAAGATACTCTATTGACTTTAGATGCCAGTTGTAATTGTCGTAACTGACACACAGTTCATACCTAAATGATTTTTGGTTTTATAATGCAACGTTCTTGGAGATACAGTTGCTGTTAGACTTTAAATAATCTGGAAATAACCTGGAAACCTTGAACAAGACTGCAGACATGTATTATAACTATGAGGAGCTTTACTCCATCACTCCTGACTCTGAAATCCCAGAGAACCTCCTTTATTTGTAGTGTCTTTCTTATTGAAAAATGATCCAATGAAGACTTTTTACACCACATATTAGAACACAGTTAAATATACACTCAGCAGACACGTTACTAGGCACAATTTTTGGACCCCTTTTGACTCAGATCTGCCTTAATTCTTTATGGGATAAATTTAACAAGGTGGTAGAAACATTCCTCAGAGATTTTGAGCCACATTGACACGATAGCATCACACAGTACAGTGAACCCACTTTCATTTCAAGAAACTAGATTGTGACAATTAGAGTTTTGTGACTTATACTGGTGAAAGCAGCCACCAGGAGATGGTTACATTGTAATATTGTTCAATGTAATATTGTTCAATATTACATTCAGTAAAACAATACATTACAATATAGCAATTAGTACTTGCATTTGTTTTTGCAAATGTAGAGATCAGTCTGCAAAAGACAGCAGCAAAACAGAGAGTAGGAAAGGCTTTATGTGTTTGTTTTACACTTAAAAGACACTTGAATATAAAATTATTTATTTAACATAACATAACCAAGACACAATGATCACTAATAAATAGATGTCACGTGGCATGGAAGATAGACGGAAGACTTATCTTGGCCAGCTTTTATTTCCAGTAAGTCAAAGGTGACCTGAATTAACTGACGATCATCCCATGCCAGCCAATCAAGGATTGTAACACCCTCCGTAAAAATCAAGGGTCCACCTTGAAATGGGGGAAAAAAAATCTGAAAGAAAAGCATTAACAGAAGGCAACATGTATGTATGTATGCAACTCTACATGTATTATAATCCTTTGTATTTGTATTTTTATTTTTTTTTTAGCTTAAATGTAAACAATAGCAACAAAAAACAACAACTTTAAAATGTCCTTTTGTTTCTCTTTTTTTCCCTCAGAATAAATTCTGACTAGTCTCAATGGTTGAGATGGAGGAGCAAAACGGCAACATGTTAACCCCGACTGCTGAAGTTCCTGTATGAACTGAACAACTCTGAAAATCCAAGGAAAAGCTGCGTGTATTTTATTTAAAGCTCAGATGGAACTTGATGGACAGATGCAGGCTGCATTCAGGACTTTATCACACTGGCATATGAAGAGTGGTACCAAGAGAAAGTGTGCACACACAACATGTCACTTTATGCTTGCTCTTCTCCTAGCCTCTGGTGTCACTTTGCAGCCACTTGTCTTATTATGTCTTATTTGTTGCGATTTAGGGACTGTGCGCATAAGCAGAGGTTTTTGCTTGGGAAGTAACCGTGTTTGTTTTCAGAGGCTTCTCTAACATTTAGTGCTCATGAAATATGTCAAACCTTTTCCTCTACTTGAAGTTAAACAGCTAGGACAGAGAATAGGAGACATCTCCCACTCTGTGTTCTTTAACTGAAACCATAAAACAAGTGGAGTGAGTGAAGGAGCAGGGCTGAATGAGCTGGAGGAAGAGCTGCAGCTGGAGGAGGAGATCAAACTGATGTATGAACAAGACTCTCTGCTGAAAAAGGTGATATAATCAAAACAGATTTTTTGATGTTATAAAAAGGCATTAATCAAATGCATGGTCTAAAAGTAATGTCTTCAGTAGACATCTTATACACTCTACACTTAGATCCACTTGCCACTCAGTATTACGGTTATGGGCTGGGCCAAGGCTTAAATTATTTCCTGGTAGTATCCAAGGCCTCAGGTGTGGCCAACTTGCCGTACTTCTTAGGCACCTTTTTCATTGCACCTTTCTGCAACTCTGATAGTTGTCTAACTTCCCTCCGTGCTACCTTGATCTTGGCCTCTAGTCTCCTTCTCCATGGAGGGTACTGCTCCTTGTGGCTATCAGTGATGGGAATAACGGCGTTACAAGTAACTCAGTCACTCAAAGGGAATAAAACTTTCATCTTTACGTCATGGGGAGGTCCAAAGAAGGCACTCTTTTATTTATCTTTCTGTGTGACAGCCAAAAAAAAGCCCTCTTAGCAACAACAGACGAAACTATAGAAAAGGTTCCTAATTGCACAATTAGCACAAATAACACATCTAAACATATAAATTAATCAACAAAACATGAATTACTATTTATTTCTTATTTCTTAATATTTCAACTACTAATTGTTTCAACCTTAAATATCTAATAAAATGAACTGAAATGCGAGAGTTGCCTATGACGGCAGCAACATACTTACTTTAAGACATCAAAAATCAGACATCATATTAATATCATATATTAATACAAAATTAATTTTGTATTAATATCAGAATTATTTTTGATAGCAATGGTTAGATATGTACAAGGAAATAAGTTGAAAAAAAAAACATCCATTTTGGGAAGACCTTAATCTTTTTAAACTACTGGGAGCTGTGACACGAGTCAGTAGATTCAGTATTTTTTACTTTTTCCTCCCTCTCTGTTTTCCTGGTTACTAATAAAGATGAATAGAAAGATTATTTTAAAAAGTTTTATTTTGTTTTTTTTTAAGAATAAAAATCTGTTCACTTTATATTTTTAAACTGACATGTATTATAGAATACTAATAATTAAAATGATTCATTTAGACTCATTTTTAGACAGATACAGAATGCTCCATAAAAGCAGCCTTGTCAAATGAATTATTTAATGCTATTGATGAGATGGGATGGTTTTGCTTTTGTTTTAAATTCTGCAAACTGACTATTAGGTTTTTAGGTGTTAAAATAAGAGATTCATTAAGAAAATAACACCATAATATACTAAAATAATAATAATATCCTAACCCTTCATCTTAATCATAACAAATGTGATAATCTCATTCTATTACTTTGAAAGGATTTGTATACATGCATGTACAGGAACTTAAAATCAACTTAAAACGATCGACATCAGTTGACAGCTAATTTCAGGAGACTGGTGATTGCTTGGTTGCTAATTTTAATTATTATTTGAGATAATCTGTGACAGAAAAAAGCAAAAACTGTCAGTGTTCTTTCTATTTTTTAAGGCTCAGGCCCTTGCCATACTATCATTACTTGTTAGTTGATTTTGTTTGATCTTTTTCATTTTTTCTTAAAAATCTCTAATCGTGAAACCATTGGTGCCTTATTTTGGTGCCTCTTCAGGTTGAATTGATCTTGTTTGAAGTTTATTCCTGTCACAGCTGCTAGATGGCAGCATGACCTAAGAGAGCAGAAACACACTTAAACTCATATTCATTGATTATTACAACTTAAACAGACAGTGCTTACTAATCTGATTTATACATGGGGATTACTTATTGAAAATGTGCTCTGTTTCATTTGTAAAGCTCAATCTTGCAAAAATAACTTGGATTGTTTGTTGCACAGATTGGAACTGGTCATTGAGTTTGTGATTCATACAGAAAGTCGTGACATTTGGAGGGCTTGTTGCCTGCTCCTGGAGTAAATAGGTGGAACTGGGCTTGTCCTTTGTACAATGGTGATCGGTATGTTAAGCACATTCCAGATGGATGGAATGCAAGGAAAGGAAAATGCCACTACCCAACTAAAACAATTCTTCCAGTTAAACCAGTTTATCATGCTTGTTCACGTGTTAATCACTTTCTCAACACAAGTACATCTACACAACCTGCTGTTATTTTTAGCCAGAATGACTGTGTCTGTGTTGCTCCTATGCCTTGTTTAACAGTCAGCTACCTCAAAAAGCAAGGGGTTTCAGGAAAGGCAGACGGGGTAAGCTGGGTGTGGGCCTGTAAATGGATGGAGCGGGTAAAGGAAGTCGGGAAGGGAGAACGTGAAGAAAGGAGCCGAAACCTGCAGAGGTAGGAAGATCACTATCTTTCAGCTACTAGCCTTTGATTTGAGTTCTTCAGTACACTGATTGTGTGGTGCTAAAGGAAGGATATGTCAGTGTAGTAATTGCTTTACAGCAAGTTTTAAAGCCAAAGTCTTCTGTGGTGGTCATGTCTTAGAACTTACCATTACACACAAGGCAAAACATCTGAAGTAATTATAAATTAGTATACTGCTATTTTAAGCGTTAGCCTCTTTGACACAACTGGAAATACAGCTGGTCTGTTATTGTGAATTTGGAGGATTTCAAGGATACCATTATTTGTAATGTTCCATCACTATTTGTGCTGTTTTAAAAACAAGATTTTGTAAATTCCAGTCATTATGCGGCAAGCGATGATCAAACTTTAATGTTTATTAAAGGGAATTTTTGTCTGCGTAAAATTTGTGCTGGCCTGAAAGAACTTTCCCTTGTCCTTCCCATTTAGCAACCATTTAATAGTGTTTTTAATTATTAGGTAACCTTGATCTCACACTGTCTTGGTTTTGTTTGCTTTACCTACAGTTCAGCTCAAACACAAGTTGTTGCTCAGTCCCAGCACACACCGTGGTCCCAGATTGTGGGCACGTTGGGAGCCTGGTATGGCTTTACTCCAGTTTTTGTAGTTTGGTCAGTCTGCCAAGTGGAGGCACTGCCGCACCCTTCTGTACTGATAGTGGATGTGTGCTGGAGGCTACTCTTTGTGTGCCTTCTGTTGATTTCTCTGGGAGGTTGCATCCATGCCCTGAAGTGCTGCCTGCAGCCAGGACAGAGCCAGGTGAGCACAGCCTCATGGACTTGTTTGTGTTTTTATTTTTGTGATATTTATTCACTGACTTTTTCTCAATTCCAGGGAGAGCCTCCAGGGACTGAACAGGAGATTGTGACTGAAATCAGGAATGACCAGTGTTTACGGTGAGGCTTTATTATTGTCACACTTATATCGTCTTCAGTTGGTATGAATGGTTTTTTTTTTTTTTTTTGGCAACAGTTTTCTAATAAATTACCCAAAAATTGTGTTGCATGTAGTGTACAATTTTTTGCTCTTTTCTTCAGGATGTACCAGGCAAGAAACCCAGGTGTGAATATTAATCTGATTCTTGCCCTGGCTGACAGCCTGCTGCTGTGTGTGCTGCAGGAACCTCTGCCAGACCCCAATGTGCCCCACATTCAGGCTCTTCTCTCCAGACTGGAGGTAAAACAAAACCAACTTAAGGAAAAAAAATGCACCTCACCCCACCCCACCCTGATGACTCTCTCTCTCTCTCTCTCTCTCTCTCTCTCTCACACACACACACACACACACACACACACACACACACACACACACACACACACACACACACACACACACACACACACTTGCCTCGAGCCATACTTTTCATCTCCTGTGTTTTCAGTTGCGTTATGCATTTAGAGCAGTGTAAAGTCTTTGTTCGTAATATAGATCAGACCCTCTACTCAGGAATACATAGATATTCTAACCGCAGGCAACACATGCCATCACTGAGCTCCTGTCAGTCCTGCTCTAAATTAAGTAGAGTGGAATGAGAAAAGAATTTAATGTTCTGTCTCTTTCTGCCTCCCCTGTCTATCGTTCTTGACAAAACAAACCCATAATACTAAAAATCAGCCTGTGAATCCTCTCTGTTTCATGTTAGTCAGTGTCTCACACACTGGAGGTGACTGATGTGGGATCAGAGGTGGGACTGGATGAGGTGGACCAAAGCTCTGTAGTGACAGAGAAACTGAAACTCCTCCACACCTACCTGCAGCAGAGGTGAGCTGCTAGTGTACCAACCATCTGCTTCCATGGAGCCATAGTTTAGTTGCATTTATGAGACACTCTTTTTCTGTCTGACAGGAGAGTGTCCCTGTGCACTCTTGTCCAGGTGCAGGGGGACTTTGAGGCCAGTGTGAAGAACATGCTGCAGGGCTTAGACGACCTCTGGGCTCAGCTGGAGGAGCTGCATACTGGGGTCACACTCTTCAAACAGGAGACCCAAGGCCACAGAGATCTGGCCTCTGCTCAGAGAGACACACAGGTAAAGACATGTGGAAACCAGTTAGCAAACTGTAGTATAGTTTACTTTTTTATTTTCACTTTGAAGTTTTTATTTTAACAGCTGTTGTTAACATTGCTGTTTCCCTTGCCTTTGAGTGTTGTTCATGATATTGTGTGTTTGCCGTAGAATTTGTTGTCGGTCTTGGGTGACTACAGGAACAAACTTCAGTCTTGTCAGGTTCATTTGAAGGGCAGCACACAACTACTGCAGGTAAACTCCTCAAGAAAGACAAAAAGAATATGTTATTTCTGTTATTGTTGTATTCACTCAGAAATCTAATGCCCTGTTCCACAGGAGTTAACCTGGAGTCACACCCACATGAGCAACAGCGTGAACAGCAGCAGTGAGTCAGTTTGGCCAGAGCTCTTGCTTCAGTCTAATATTGAGCAGGTACACTAAACTTGAGACAAACAGCTTTAACAAGGTTTAAAAACGCACCAGGAATAAAAACATGTCTCTTCGTTCAGTTTGACAAGGTGCAGGAGAATTTCACCTCTCTGGAACAACAGATCTCTACCTTCCAGGCCCACCTGGAGGGACTCGGAAAACAAAATCAGGAAAAACATGCCGGGCCCCTCACTCATGCTGGCGGGCCACATTTATACTCGGTACCGCCACAGACTTCTTATCATGCCCACAGTAAAGTGTCTGTGGAGCACCGTAACTCCACCTCTTCCTCCACGTCTGCTTCCTCGGTGGATACAGGTACAGCCACAAAAACAGACAATACTTTCTCACTGCGCAAGAGGTCGGCGCTACATTTCTCTTCCACAATCGGACGACGTCTGCGCATATCTGGAAGGAAGAAATGATTTGTTAAAAACGTATTTAAACGCAGATGATGTGGTAGTGAGCTAGGGAAGGAATATTCAAATGTTGATCATTTGCTGGTTGCCTAAAATTTTATTATTTATTGCTCTTTGTCATTGCATTGCTTTGACTTGTATGTGTACTTTAACTTAGCTGCTTTATCTTTTCTACCTCTTGGATTTAAGAGCAGGCAAGAACAGATTTTCACTGTAAAGCACATTTCAAACACTAGGGGGCACACTTTCATCAGTTACTTCGAGAATAAACAGGTACGATGTGGACATGTACACTGATCTCAGGTTGACTGAGCCCAGTGTGAACCATTTCCCTGCTGTCAACAAAATAAAAGTATTGGGTGCATTTGTTCAAACAAACTTAAGTCAGTCAAAAATAGTTTTGAAAATTTGAATTTGGGCCAATATTTCAGGTGTTTTCTGTTATTTTAATTCACTGGATAAGGTCACCAGCTGTTCTCTTTGTGCTTGAAATGTGATTTTGAAAGTTGTATTGAAGTCTTATCCTGTACATCTCTTTGAATTTAAGAAGTATATTTTTATTGAAGGTTTCCGGTTAAAAAAAAAAAACCTATGGGAGAGGAGGCCAATATGGCAAGTATTTTTGTTACTAAAAACTGAGCGGCCCTCTAGACCATTTTTAAAAGATCTTTGATCCAAATTCAGTCACTCTGCAACGCTACACCAAAGGCGATGGTTTTCTCAGCCAGATTCCTAACGTTTCAGGCTGAAACGTGCAGGCCTTGTGATAGAAACCTGTTCATTCATGGCCGCAGTTAAGCGCCTGTTGCATGGACTCTGTACAGCATGTGTGACATAGATGTCATTTTGACCATGGACTTTCCTACCATCTGCCAGATCATGCATCTGTCTGATTTTCTCACACTGTGATTGGGAGTGGTGGGGCCGACCCCTGGGGGATTTGGGATGAAAGGAATGTGAACTGAACACTGCAGGATTTGAGCTGTCACAACACCAAGATACAAACACAGTGTGTGTGTGAACTTCGTTGTAGAGAGATGTAAAGCCTGTGGAAGGAGAGATGCGTGTCTGGTTGTTTGGACTTCAAAGACACAAGAGTTTGAATTTAAAAAATAAATCTTTATGACATGCCTCATGAGTTTGTATGTAACATTTTCCACTAATCAGTAATGGAAACACAGAACATAACTGTCTTGGATGCTTGGTTACAATAACAATGACCACATCTGCTTTGAGGTCCAACAGTCAAAAGATGTTTTATTAGGTGATTTAATAAATAAATTAAAAGGGTGAGAAACAGAGCTTCAATACAAAATAGTGGGGCACATCCTGGCTGTGTCCAGATAAACTCATACCTCACATTGCTGCCGTGTGATGCCAAGGCCATCAGAGGGATGGCATCTGGGAGAGCAGATGGCATCAGATATCTGCTTGCTGAAAATGCAATAGTGAGCGAATGAAATTACCACAGGCTTTGTTTAGTTACACTAAAAAGTTGATGGCTGGCTTCCTCAGAGGCTACTCTGGTCCTGTAGCAGAGGCTATTTCAAAGCCAGCTCAAGTATGTGTTGTTTCAGAAAATATGGTTCATGGCAGAGGTCAATCCCTCGCCTTATCCTGACAATTACTCAAGATCAGGTTTCACTGGCGTACACATAGCACGCATTTGTGCTGATCCCCCCGCTGATGACACCATGCCGTAGTATAAGCAACTGCTATCTGATATCAACAAACTCAAGACCTTGTCAAGAAACTTTCTTAAGATCACAGTTAATTAAACTGTTTAAAATCCACATTAAGTTTCCATTAAGATTTAAAATGGTTGTGTGTGTGCGGGTGTGTCTGGTTGGGGTCTTGTTAAGCTTTTATAATAACGGCAGTGACATCCTTGGTAATTTATGTAGACCTACATCTGAAGAGTGCAGCCGTGACATCACTCTGTAACATATCATACATAACGTGTGTGCAAACAAGCAGTTCTTAAGTCATTTTTTTTTGAACACATGAATGCATCAATCATCTTAGTATGTGATTAGATTAAATTTTAATTTTTAATCTGACTTGACATCATAAACATTTTTAAATCCGGTATATCATTTCATTCTTTTTAGATAGGTTCTATGTTAGAAACTGGACAGAAACAGTTGCTTTCAGGTTTTAGGACTCAATAATGAATAAAAGTATCCCTGATACGGCCATAAGAAGTAGGCCTGAAGTGATCGTGGCCTTGTTTTAGAGAGTGTACAGGCTGTGGAGCTGCACCATGGCAGAGTATAAATAAGAAATAAGGATTATTTTAACTGTGACTCTATCAAAGCTACTTTAATAATGTCCAAGAATAAAAATATGAAGCTGGAAATCAGAATTATAGTCCATATATTCTGTGTATTTTGATTTCTCTAATTTGACACATCTGTGACATCAGCAAATTAAATATTTTATATATACAAGATACTAGGCAATTTCAAAAAGATGTGTTTCCTTTTCAAGTACTGTTTAGTTATGGCAACTATGAACAAACAATAATCTTGGCAAATAACTCTTAGGTATGTTACAGTCAATAAAATGAATCATTGGTGGTTTGAGGCATATTTTTCTTTCTTATTTTGACTAAAAAATGAGCTTCTAAATTGAATTTCAGAGTTTGTTCTAAAACACAAAAGCTGTTGCATGGCTCTTATTAGGGCTGAACACAGATAACAGGAGGGCCGTGCCACTTTTAATCAGAGTTTGTTGGAAATAGAATGGACAGCTGCACATTGTGACAAAACATCAAAACGAGAGCCACAGATGTACGCAATTAGCAACATGGTAGACATTTGGGGAGCAAAGGTCCATAAACTCACAACTTATTATGGCTGATCTAACATGGCTGGAGGGAAGCCTAAACTCAACAGCATTAATGGGCTCTTAGTTTGGGTTGAAACATTCCACCATCCGGAGTTTAATGTCAAAGAAAGCTTAACTCCTAAAATCTTTCTCAAATCTTTCGTGCCAGTATAATGCCAGCCTGTTCTCATACTACATACCATCCAGTTCAGTGGACTTGTAGCCTATATATGTGCATGAAGGGGTGTATATGTGCGTGCTGAGTGAGAGGGCGGCACCAATAGCCGGGAGGGAGGGAACAAACGTCACGCTCAACATGTTTCCAATCATTAGGAAATGCACAGCTTCCTGTTTGTGTAAATATTTTCTTATTTTGTTTTCCCAAGCGAGCAGGGTAGAATAATGAAGGCTGACCTCTCTGGCCTCTTGTTTTTTTTTAAATGTAGCTCACCTGCAGTGCTGACACGGATGACACCACTGGCTGCAGGGAGCGGAGAGTCAGAAAGGGAAGGGACTTTACGGGGGCAGTGCACACCACCAGCTTTTGATACCAGTTAGTAACAGATGTGAGGCCTTTCAATAACGTTTTCATTATTTCACATTAAATTGCATGTACTTATACCACTTGAGCATCATCTGAATAAGTATGACTGTAAGGTTTTAGTTGCGTAAAAAATTTAAAACAAAAAAGGTTTTCTGCATTTGAAAGAAAAGATCTGACCAAGGGTTATTTGTGAGGTAAAAATCTCACAAAGTTATAGGATTATTCCAGATGTTGCTGTCTGCAGCATTAAATATTATATAATAAATCTTTTTATTTTTTTTAATGACACTGAAAAAACTTCCAGCATGCACTACATCACCTGTCTTTAATCATTTTGTTTTATCTCTGTTGCCAAAGAAACTGATGGTTTGATTTCTCAACAATCCTCCCCAAGAAATAACATTTCTTTGGAAAGGTTATGAGGCCAGATGATGCAGTTCTGATGTCCAGATTTTCTTTTCTTTTGCTTTTTTGTCAGTCATCACGAGCTCCTATGTTTAACGAATAACTCTATATTATAATGTAGACAGTATTTTGTTCTTTAACTTTGATTTTTACAAGATAAGTTAAGTCCTATTTTCTGGATTTTCTGGATTTTCTTTTTTTTATAAGACTTCCTTTCTCAGTGTCTTATTTGATGGGCGTCTTTTAGGTGGTACAGCTAAAAGAGAGTCCATGGTGTGCCATAACTGACAGGAATATTAGAAGCTGGGTTTATTTAAAACAAACGCAACACAACAACTCCTTTCCTCTCAAAGTTTGAACCTGTCTCTTTTTTCATCCGTACGAGGCACCAATGTGTGAGGCAGCTCTCCGAGGAAAGGCTAAACAAACAGGCTGGCCCAGGCACAAAGAGGCCGCCACTCAGAGACATGTGGCAGCAAAACCCTCTCAATCCATGTCCCCACCCCCCGAAAGTTGCAACGCTGAACCCCTCACACTCCCACCAGAGCCACACAAACTCCTCCGCATACCCTGCGCATGGAGCCAGGAGGAGAAAAGTTGGAGGAAGGGAGGGGTGGTGGTGGTGGTGGGGAAATTCTGATTCCTATTCACCGAATGTCACCACCTTACAAAAGGGGACCGCATGACACTGCCACTAAATCAGAGTTAATGGACTCCTTTCTCAGTCCTGTGAACATGACAGGGGGCGTGTGTGTGAGAGTAAGGGGGTGTGGAAGAGGGACAGAGGCTGTGAGGGTGCCTGTTTGCCCCATTGAAGGGGCACATGGGCCAATGAGCCTTGTGTGATATAGTGAAGGTAGTGGAAGTGTGTTTTCCTGGGGCATTAGCAGCTTGTCCAATAGGAAGCTTCGTGTCTCATTCAACACTTCTTTGTTTTAAGCAGTTTATAAGTCAGACAACATGTCGACTCGGTGCTTTCAGTAAATCATTAAAAAGACAAATGTTAATCGTATGGTTTGTTTGACTTTTCGGTACTACTCTTTCGCCACAGCCGATTAGTGTGTAAGACACAAAACAACATAACATCAATCACGGGGCACTTTAACACTAAGCACCTACCTACACAAACCATGTTGGTGTAAAGGCAATCAATCAAACTAAAGTGAAGGTACGGGGCAGGACCGTCCACAGGGCTTGTGGGGCGATTGTCAATTTGCATGTGAACACTTATTTCACAATGAGGAGCCAGACTGGGGGACAGCAATTTTGGAGCCGTTTGTTATCTTCCCTATGGGGCAGTACCTAATACAAGTAGCCCCTCCTGCCCCATACCAGGCTCAAAGTGCACG